AAACAAATTTTTATTATTTTCTATATTAAAGTGTAAATAATGACAGAAAAAATAAAATTTTGCTTGAAAATATTTTTAGTGAAACTGTTAGACACATACAAATTATTCGGGACGGCAATGCAAATCAATACATGGTACTTATACGGTTTAAAGACCAGGTAATCAAGTTGCTATTATGGTTTTGTTAAAATTTACTAAACCTCTTGAAAATATTTAACTTAAATTGAACTTCTATAAAAATTACAGGGCAACTACAAAATTTTCATATTTTTGATTAACTTAATAAATGTTTTTAGGAAAGTTCTGATGCATTTTATCGTGAATATGAAGGAAAAGCATATAATATGCTTGAAGACGAGGTTCTATGTTTAAATGATTATAATTTTATATAGGGTAAATGATTTATCAACTGGCTAATTTTATACACTTCGTTAAAAAAAATCTTCATTTTATCAAGAAACTTCTTGGTAATAATTTATCCCAAAATAAGAATATTAAATTTATGCAACCCTAATTTTATAACTTTATTTGATATGAAATGATTTTGAAATAGGTTTAGGTATGATTAATAGCGCATTTTTTTTCAATTGCTTTTTAGGATAAAAAAAACTTTTTTTCAATATTTTACCACTATTTTCTTATCACTTTTACTTGATCACGCAACATATATATATATATATATATATATATATATATATATATATATATATATATATATATATATATATATATATATATATATATATATATATATATATATATATATATATATATATATATATATATATATATATATAAATATATATATATAAATATATATATATATATATATATATATATATATATATATATATATATATATATATATATATATATATATATATATATATATATATATATATATATATATATATATATATATATATATATATATATAATCCGGAACACAACCGCCCAGTTTCCTTGACTTCAATTCCACGTAAGGTTTTGGAGTGAATCATAAAAGACACAGTCATAACTTATCTCTATTTAAACAAACTTATATCCAAGTAACAACATGGATTTGTTTGCAATAAAGGTTGTGTTACTAATTTATTGGAAACATTAGATAAAGTCACGACAATACTCTCTAAAAAAATAGTGAGGTGATGTAGTTTTCTTGGATTTTGCCAAGGCACTCGACAAATTGCAACATCAACACTTTCTAAAAAACTACAAGCAAATAGTATAAATGAAAAAAAATATTAAAATGGAAAATAAGCAGATATTAAACTTTCTAGAAAACAGGCAACAACTTGTTGTGTTTGAATAAATCATTTCAATGTCACCAGCGGCCTAACACAAGGGAGTGTGCTTAAACCACTGTTGTTTATAATCTAAATAAATGATCTTCCAAGTTTCTTAAATTATTATTATTATAAGCTTTATGCTGATGAAATTAATAGAAAAGATATCAAATGAAGAAGATTCCCATAAATTACAAAGAAAAATAAATGCAATTATAATTTGGATAGATACTTGGCTCATGAAACTGAATGTTGATAAATGTTATGCATTTCGGCTACAATAACCCTAAATTTAGTTACAATATATTCTTTGAAACAACTAGTCATGCTTTACTATAAACAGACTCAAAATATGTCCTTGGTGTGACAATTACATCTAACCTCATTTGGAAAATGCATTATGTGCTTCTAAAGCCAACAGTATCTTGGGATGGATGAAAAGCGCTTTCATGAGTAGGGACATAAACCTCTGGAATTATATTTATAAATTGAATAAAAACATTTAATTTGAGCTTAATTTTCAAGTTAAAAGTTATCCACATTAGTTTAGTTTATAGGATAATCCATGCAATCGCCAGAAAGAATTAGTCCAAGTTTTAATTTAGCTTTAATTTTTTTTAAGGATATAACTACTACAGTATATAGCTTTTAACTAGCCCAATATATAGCTATATAGCCCACGGGGTACCTGCCTGCTACATAGCTTTTATACAAATGCTACAACATAAACTGTTATATACCTATTACATAAACTGTTACATAGCTACTACATAGCTCACTCATAAATACTACATAGCTACTACCTAAGCATGTAGCATGCTGCATACCTATATATAAGTATACTAATACATAATAAAAAGTTAAACAAATTTTAATAAAATATATTTTGCTAATTTTAGTGACGTAAAAGTAAAAGTTGCTAAAGCCAAAAAAAAAAGTTATATGAAAAATAATAATTTTTAATGAATTAAATTACCGAACCTTTGCGAGTTTATATCAATTTATAAGTTGTACACATTAATTGGACATCAAAGGACATTTTTTTATGTATTTGAGTTTGCTTTGGAAAAACAAACATTTAAAATAAAACAAAATAAATGCATGGAATTATTATAATTAATAAAATAGAATTAATGAAATCATTGTCATAAAACTTTGAACTTAATTTTTTTGCAGAAACTTGCTCTATATATAGACCAAACGAGTAAGATTAAATCAAAAAAATAAACGAGTAAATTCAAAAAAAATACTAAATTTATAAAATTAGATAACTCATTCTTTCTAATTTATTCCTTTTTTTTTTTCTAGCGTAATTAAAAGTTAAAATATAATTAGTTTTTTCATTCAAAATGCTTTTAAGTTTTCATTCAATTTTTTTTTTGTTTAAAATTTGTTTTAAATTTTGTTTAAAATTTGTTTTTTTGTTTTTTTTGTTTTCCGATAAAATTCCGAGAAAAAGATATAGTTTACTAAGTAAAATTAATTTTCGTTAAGTCTATACGTAAGTCTAGTATATGTTTTAATTTTTTTTTTGAAAAAGAATTTTGAACAGAATTTAGATAATTTATTTTTTTAAATTTAAATTTTTTGAATTTAGTTTTTTATTTCACACATTTAATGTTTACTATTGAATGTTTCTACATTTTAAACTATATAAGAAACAAAAAATAATGACGTCTTTACAAAAATATATTAAACTATTAAAAATGTTTTAGATTTAAAAAAACTTTTCTTCCTCACTTGTACTAATCTAAAAGTTTATTTAGCTAGATCTATGTCTGGTTTTCAGGAGTTACTCTCACTATGCCACGGGTTATTATAAAGTCAATGCATTTTCCATTTAATTAAATTTATAACTATTGTAAGCGAGCATTAAAAATTTGCTAAGTTCTTCTAAATTGTTCAAAATTTCAAATTTACTTAAATATGAGATTTTTAGAAGACTCTTGTTCAAATAGATTACTTTTTTAAATGTGTATTTATAAAAAATATTTAATCTTGTCATAGCTATAAATAAAATAAAAATATAAAATAATTGTATTCTATATTCAAAATTTCTTGTTAAAATTAGCTTTTAGTTAGAAGTTTTTTATGTGTTAACAAAAAAAGATATAAGTAGAAACATTTTTATGGCTAACTTTTGTAAGTAAATGTCTTTGAGCATATTAAGTATATTTAATAGTTGATTAACTTAAATGGAGTAAATAAACTGGTTGTTTTGATTTAGTTATTAATTAAATTTATTACTGTTATTAAAAAAAAATATTTAGTTATAAAGTAAATTTACTGTGATATACGCTATCTATAAAGTAAATCACACTAAATTTAAAATTTAACTTTAAAATAGATGTAGGATACTATTGGTTTCCACGCAAAGATTTAAAGCAATTAAAATTCATAAGCGCTTTATGTTGAATAAAAATCTTCCTGCTAGAGCAAATGATCCTACGTTTCTTTAAAAGTTAAATTTTACACCTCAGACAAAAACATACTATATTTTTTTGATTGTCAAAAAAATAATAATAACAATAAAAAACGAATCAAAACAAGTTGCAAAAATATTTTTTTCAAAGAAAAAAATAATTGGAATGGTGCAAAAAGCAATCACAACACGCTACATATATATATATTAATATATATATATATATATATATATATATATATATATATATATATATAATATATATATATATATATATATATATATATATATATATATATATATATATATATATATATATATATATATATATATATATATATATATATATATATATATATATATATATATATATATTTCGTTAAACCCCCTAATTCTGGATGGTATAGTAATTAAATCATCAGAATTCTCTCATTATAAAAGATTCCGAAATAGTTTTTTTAAATAAATAAACTTCATAACAAGACAATAAAATCGAACGATATAAAAAATTTTTTTTTCTGCAATTTAAATCTCTATTTTATTTTATTTTTAAAAGAATTGTTTTTATCCGAAATTAGGTGTTTATGTTTTTAATTTTGGATGCGTATAAAATATAGAAAAACACACACACAATTAATACTAACATTAAAATAATTTATTTAATCAATTAAAAAATTGAATTGTTTAATTAAAAAAGAAAATGTATTATTTTATTCACATTCATTACAAATAAATTCCATAGTTGGACGATAATCAACGACACATGCAATGCATGACCAATTAGAACATTGCTCACATGCAGACCATTGGTTATCTAAGATATTCACCCAATGACTTTGGCAAGAATAACATAGACGATCATCAGATACTAAAATGCTATTTGAAGTTGCAGGTAAATGTGGGTCTACTGTTTGATTCTTTGTCTTTTGACATTTTTTACCTGGTGTTTTAGCCGACTGGCTTAGTTAAAACACGATTAAACAACTTTTTTTTAAACATTAAATGACTTGTTCAACAACTTTTTTTTTTTTCTCTTTTCTGTGCATCTTCTGCTTTTGAGTAGCAGTTGTAATCTTTTTTTACTCTCTAGTCAATTTCTTTGCAACTTTTTCATCTAATTTTTTTTTTTTTGATGTTTGTTCAGCTTCATCGTAAGCTATAGCATCCACCGAAGTTATTATAAATAGCTGGTCGCTTTATTCTCTCACCCTTTTGAACTCTTTTATTTAGAGTTGGTGTCAATTGATCTGGAAGCATATTTAATACTGATTTGTTTATATCTTTTCCACTTTTTGAACAGCATTACTTAAAGTAGCAAAGCTTTTAGGCGAAAATTTACGATTTGACATTCTTGATGGTGTGTTAAGTGTATTGGTAGCGTTTCCCAAAACTAATGGACTGGATACTGTTAGAGAATCAAATCAATTTTCAGTATTGTTGTTTTCGACAGCTTGAAACACCGCACCAATGGAAGTTTTTTTAGAAGAAATTTGTGAACAATCGAGTGGAAATATATATGTATTTTTGAAACCACTTCGTGTATTTTCAGGTTTAAACCCGCCATTTTGAATGAGATCCTTAAACATGGCCGGAAAATGTTGATTTGTCAGGCTTTACAAGTGATTTTTAGTAATTTTTTCAAATAACTTTTAACTATTTGCTTCCATTTGCTTTTTACTGTTTTAAAAACGCCAACATCTAATGGCTGTAAAAAATGGCAAATATGAGATGGTAAACTTCAAAGTAAAATATAATTTTCTAAAGTTTTTTTTTTTAACTCTAAGCTCATATTGAAGCATGGCCATCAAAAATTAAAACTTTAAAACCTGAAAGTTTATTTGTGTGAGGCAAAAAAACTGTTGTAAACCATGACAAAAAATGTTCGGATTCTATCCAGCCAGAACTGCTACTGATATAATAAACATTCTGGGCACCGCCTTTGCACCATTCTTTCATAAAATGTTGGCCTTTATAAATTACTTGATTAGGTAAATAATTGCCATAAGCGTCACAAAAAGTCAAAATTGTTGTCATTTGCTTTTCATATGATGCTGCTAGCTTTTTAGAATTTTTTATTCCTTTTCTACAAATGATTTTGTCTTTGCCTTGATCAAATTGCAAACCAGACTCATCACAGTTTAATATTTAAAACGGCTTATTGCCTAAATTATGTTCATTATATGCTGCTGCTAAATTTCTCAAACCAATTGTCAATTATAGCTGGCTGTGTGGCCACAGCTCTAATAGTTTGCATGTCGCTTACTTTTCTTGGGCAAATTTCTTTATAATATTTGTTCATGAAACCAGAGTACTATTTTCTCGTCGGTTTGCCGTCTTTGAATAAACTAGCTTGATTTGATTTTTTCAAATAATTTTCAATAACAATAAACACAATTTTTCTATTCAAGTCGAAGCCAATATCACTCATAAACTTTAATAAATCAACAATAATAGCTTCAGTGATGCAGCACATCTTTCTTGGCGCTGCTTGGTCATTAGAAGACCCTTTTTTTTTCCCACACAAAATAGTGTTTTTTTCTTTTTTAATTTTTTCGTTGCAAATCTTAATTATTTTTTTCTTTTTTTTGTTAATTTAGTTATTAAAATCTTTCATGATTGCATTATTTTACATATATATTTTTTTATATTGTTCAGTTTGTCTGGTATAGATGTTGATTAATTTTCATAAATTAATTATATTAAGCAAGTTATGAAACTTTTTACTAAAACCATCTGGAATCTAGTTACATCCGGAATAAGGGGTTTTTGCGGTGTATATATATTTGGGCAGGTCGCAATCCCATATAAATTTTTTAAACAATCAATTTTACTAGTGGCTGCATAAAATATTTTTTAAAAAAATATTATTTAAACAATATTATTTAAAAGTGGTACTTAGTGTTAGGCATGATGATAACAGGGGTGGCGAAAGAGACAGTTTATCCCGAGTGGCAGATGTCTAAGAGGCACCAATAAAAAAAGAAGATACGTAAAAAGTAAGGTCCATTAATGATGATATAGAAGTATTTAAAAAAATATTTGCTCCAATCGGGGGCTCTTGGCGCCCCTGACGACCGGATATAAAAAAATTGTATTTTAAACAATTAACTAAAAGATGTTATTAAACATATTGTTTTGTATAATTTCCTTCATTTATGCATTACTTAAAATCAACACCTTTTACAATCAAATATTTTTTTATAAGATGCCTTTTTGCACCTTTCAAAAGTGGAGTTGTAACTAAAGAAATAAATAAGAAAAATGATTTGTTAAAATTCAGTTTTAGTTAAAAATCTGACATTCAATTAATGAAAATGCTTGCGATAAAAATTTATGGTAACTCTTTTTGGCCTCGGATAACATCATCATATTTTAAAAATAGTTATTTTGGAAATTTTTTTTAAAAAAAGAGAGAACAACTGATACTTTATAGATTTTAAAACTATTAAATTCGAGCAGCCAAGGTGGAGTGGTAGCGCGCTTGCCTTAATTGCAAGGATTCCATGGTTCGAACCCACCTTTAGGCAAGTTTTATGACATTAAATATAAAGGATGCATGAAATTCATGTTAAATATTCTTTCCCAGTGCTCTCTGATAAGACCGTACAGTCTGGCTTATCTTAGCTAGGTCTTATCTTATTGGCTTTACCACGGGCTTATCTTATCACAGTCGATGCAGTCTTGGGGGCACCTGAAATTAAAATTAAAAATTAATCGCTTGCAGAGGTTCCTTGATATTAAAAATCATTCTAAAAAAAAATAAACAAAAACATTGCAACTAATATTGAAGCTGAAAATTATGTTTTTATTTGATTACTTTTAAATAGTAATAAAAAACGCACTAGTATTTTAATTAAAAATAAACATATATAACAGATTATAATAATATTTCTGATCTGCAGGGCAAGGCTTTGAATAAAAAAATAAAGTTTTTAAAGTAGTTGAAAATCACACAAAAAAAATTCTAACTAGAAGTAATAGTTTACTGATTCACCTTAATAACTGCTATATTTATTTTTCAAAATAACATGTTTTTTATTCTTGACTTGTTTTGTGAAATTTTATTTACATTTTCAAAAGATTATTTTACAATAATAAAACTCTGAAATAAATATTAAAAAATAGAAGAAATAATACAGAGAAATACTAACGGACAAAAATTTACATAATGAACAATATATTTATTATAAAATAACTCAGTAAAAAACCAATTAAAATAACTGTCAATAAAAATAATAATAATAATTATAAACTGACAGTAAAATTAAATAAACTATAAACTTATCTATTTAATTTTACTTTCAGTTTATTATTATTATTATTTATTTTGACAGTTAGTTATTTTGATTGGTATTTACCAAGTTATTTTTAATATATATATATATATATATATATATATATATATATATATATATATATATATATATATATATATATATATATATATATATATATATATATATATTCCCGTATAATTAATGATAAAGATATAGTAAAAGTGATTAGGAAATAGTAAGTGGTAATGTATTAAAAATAAAAATACTATTTTTATTTTTAATATTTTATATAGTAAAAAGCAATTGAAAAAAATGTCCTTTAGACATAATTTTGCCGACCTTAATCTGTTAGAGGTTGGCATCTGGTCAGCAAAAATAAATTTGATATACTATAGGTAAAGTTTTATGATATTATATTTAGTTTTTATTTATAAATATGTTTTAATTTTTAGTGTACCCACCTAATGTTTGTCTCAAAAGTGGAGTCTGTTGCAACAACAGGGGTTTGTCAACTTTTTTTCATATTATGTTGAATTTTCATATTATTTTACAATAGTTGTATCAGTATAATACTATAATATATAAACAGAACATATCAGCATAAAAAACAAATTGTTGTTAATAAATTTTGAAAAGAGTGCATTAAAGCCTGTCAAGTAGTTTGATCAAGATTTTTGAACGAGATGAAAATAATCAAAAAATTTATATTAAAAGTTTAAAAATTTATTTTTAAAACCTCTAATTTTTAAATTAATACCTAAACTTTAATGTTAAAAAAACATTATTCTAAAAAATAATTAAGAAATTTTATTTTAAGTTTTCATAATATAAATAATTTTTTTTTATTTTTGTGGTTGTTTTGACTTGGCTTAGTTAATGATCTAAATCTTTTGTCATACTTAATTATCACAGCCTGCATACTTAATTATCTAAAAAAAATAGGTTATACAATTACAAAAGGAATCTAAGCCTAGTGCTACCTTAAAAAACTTATTTTTTATGTCAATATTTTTTGAAGATCCAAAATGTAATTAATGCAATGTAAAATGAAATTTAACTAAAATTTATAAATTTATAATATTTGTAAAAAACAATACTGTTTGTATATCATTTATTGTTAACCAAACTTTTTAAAGGTTTATTAATTTAAAAACAACAACAACTGTTAAATGTTTTTTTTTGTTGATAAATACACAGCTTGTTTTGAACAAAAAATGCATACCAATTAATCTTCAATGATAATCTTCAATTTACTTAATTTATTAATGTCATAAAAGTTTTTCATTTGTTTTTTCGTTTTTATTGACATCAACTTTTTTAAACTACTGCAATTTTTTAAAGTACGGCTAAACTATTATAAACTAGCTATCTGGACCAGTAAAATACGGATCTTGGTAAATCTCTTTCTATACTTATTTTTTCTATACTTCAATATTTCTTAATAGGCTGCAGAAAAGCAACTATATACAAAAAAAACTATTTTAGAAGCTTTTTTAAGTTAATAAATTTATTAACTTTAAAATGCTTTAAACATTTTGGTAGCCATTGCGCGAATCGCTATTCATTAACAGATTGGATATTACCTAGTGGGCACCGGACTAAAAAAAGACTATATTATTTAGACAGGTACTACCCAGTAAGCACAGGACATAATCAAGACATATTATTTACACAGGTACTTTCCAGTGGGCACGGGACATAAAAAAGACGTCTTTTAAACGTCTTTTAAACCTTTCGAAAGTCTTTTGAATGTTCAAAAGACATCCAAAACATTCAAAAGACGTCCGAAACGTTTAAAAGACAGCTTTTTTATGTCCTGTGCCCACTGGGTAGTACCTGTCTAAATATATTTAGAATACCCACTTGAAATGTGTTAAATAATTACTATCGGTTCAAAAATTTTCAAAAAACATGAGATAACTTAACTGTGTGGATTAACAGACATGACCCAGAGTGGAATAGACTTATTATGGTCATGATAAGTCTATTCCACTTTGACCATTTTAATAAATTCACTTTATTTTAATAAATTTTCAAAAAGTGCAAAATATAAAAATCTTTGTTTTGAGTTAATGATATTTGTTCAATACTTTATAAATTCTATGAAAAACAAAACAAAAAAAACAGGGAGGGACTTTTTTTTTTTTTCTTTAATAAGTTTTTGTTAATTTTTTTCAGATCATTTTTAGAGCATTTTTAATCAGACCTTTTTAGGACTCTTGCCCTGTTACTTTTGAAGAAAGTTAAAGTTTGCATGTAAAATCGTTTTTCTATATGGAAGAAAGTTGTCTCTTTAATGCGTATTAAACGCGCAGGCTTAACTAACTACTTAAAGGGACTACCAAGTCCCGGGACATGTTGTGTTCATATTAAAGGGAATGTTAAAAAAAAACGTCTGAGCAAATTTTTTTGATTAAAACTAATTAATAAATGTATACCAAGAAAAACAAATCTTGTTGTTTTAGTCGAAGATCGTCTTCTCTGTTTTATCTGGTATTTTCAGTATGTAAAATAAACGTGATTTTCCAGGCGCATTATACAGACTTAATAATTTATCAAGCGCGTTTAATTCATAGGAGTTTTAATGCATGACGTCATAGATTTTTTTGTTTGTTTGTTTAAAACACCGATTGTTATTTTTTACATACAATTTCCAAATCATATTCATTTTTATTATATTTTAAAGTTCTAAAATGTGTTTGTAAAACAAAATTAAATACAAAATAAAATTAAAAACAAAATAAAATAAAAAACAAAAATAAAATAAAAAACAAAATAGTATTTTATTTGCGCAACTTTTTTAAAATAATCCTCTAGACCACGTGTATTTTATTTTATCTAATATTTTGAAAAAAAAACTTATAACAAAAGAAATTATATATAACATTATATTATATTATATTAAATTATATTATAACAAAAAAAAATTATTAACGGATTTTTTCTCTGATTTTCAAAAATGTATTTTTTGGTATTGAGGTGATCTTATTTCATTATTTATATTTCCATTATAACATCCAATATATATTATGGCGGGGGCCTAAAAATTAAAAAATTAATATATATTAATTTTTATTTTACAGACATACATGGATACATAATTAACTTTAATGTTCTTAAAACATCTTGCGGAAGAATAAAAAGAATATTCGTGAACACTAAAAACCCGCCAAATTTGCCAACAAACTAATTCTATTGGTTCAAAAAACACGCTGACTAAGCGAAATAAAGTTCTAGAGTATTCTGTTGAAATGTTTTAGGAATTGTATTATTTACGATTTGTTGCGTTTTGAGATATCTAGCATAAATTTTTTTAAGAATATATTATCAAATGAACTATTACTTTAATATTATGACTCATTCTCGGAGCCACATCTGTAAAGCCGTAAAACTTTTAAACTATTATCATTTGTTTACAAAAATAAATGTTTTATAATATATATTTTTTAAATTGTCAAAATTTTGAAAGTTAATTACAAATTATATTTTATTAGTATATTCTTAATTTTTATATCTTTTCTTAGTGCTTGGTTTAATTAATTGTTCGTTAGATTTGTAAAAAATTAACGAACAATTAATAAAATAAACTTTTAATAAAATAAGTAACTATAGTTAGCTATTTGAGTAAAATTTAATAGTAAAACTTTTAAAGAATTTCTAGAATGTTTCCAATGACGTCATGCTCTAAAACTCCTATGAATTAAACGCGCTTGAAGTCTGTATAATGCATTCGTTTATTTTACATACTCAAAATACCAATTGGTATTCATTTATTAATTAGTTTTTTTTAACATTCTCTTTAATATGAACACAACATGTCTAAAGGGACTACCCTTTAAGCACATTGATAACTTAAGTATCTCTATCGTGACATATGCGCAAAAAAATTCCAATGGTATTTTTATGTTTTTAGAAATTTTAAAAAGTTTTTTAAAAAAGTTCTCTCCATTTCGTTTGTTATAGTATGTAATATCTTTATATATGTTATGCATATAATATCCATAGGCTTTAAAAAAACTTTGTATTCTAGGAAATTAGAAATTATTAAAAAAAAACAATTAAGTGTGTAATCAAAAGGATTTGAACCCACACAAAGCACTTCAACCACTTTAGCATGCTTTATCATGTTTTAAAACTCTTTTATAAACCAAAGACTTATTAAACTTTATGAAGTGGCATATAAATCCTATAAATCAAAGTTAAGGAGATATTGCCGAAATAAAATTTTCAAGTACAAGTAAATCTGTAAAATTTGATATGTATATATATTTTTTTGTATTGTGATAATTTGTACTGGAAAATTTTATATAATTTACTTAACTTGAAGTTTTTATGTTAGATATTTGCATAGACTTTCGTTCAAATAGATAAAATGCAAATCATTATGGATTGTGGTTTTAAAAAAATGCGTAATAGCTTTTTAAAATAAAAGATATTTTTATTTACACATTTATTAACAAATTAACAAAACATAACTTTTTTCAATAGTTTTCAATTGTATGACTATATTGAACAAGCATGTTATCTGGTTAATCTAAAAAAATTAATCGAATTAAAAAATTGACAAAAAAACACCACATGTATTAACTGAAAGTCAGTTTATTTATACAACTAAGTATTTAAAAAAAAGTTTATTAACAAAAAAAATTTAACTACATCTGGATCATCAATTGACGATTGGTAGATAAACCAACTGCAAAAATACTAATTAAGGTCTACTTTAGGATCTATAAAAACCATCTTGTCAAAATGCAATTTCAATACATCACTTATAAAACAAAACATGTTTCATTAAGTAAAAGGTTAAAAAATTAAACTTTAGTAACTTCAAAAACAGATTAAAAATTTTAAAAAATATATACTAATTACAAATAAAAGTATATTCAACAATTATATTATTTATGATAATAATAATAGAAGATTATTAGAATAATAATAGAAGATATTTTAGAAATTTATAAAAGTTATATAGGAAATACAAAAAACTTACATCTACAATGCTTTGTGCATTATTAGTTATAAACGAGTTGACTCTTCCAATATTATACAGAATATAATACTATTTTAATGGTTATTCAGGCTTGGTCCGGAAGCGGGAGCGATCGCTCTCGAATACTGACCACGGAAATTATATTTAGTTGCGAAAAACTGGCCAGGTTTTTCAGTCGTTTTGAGAACATTTAAATTTATGTACGAAACAAAAAATTTTTGTTTTACGGACATATATGGAAACATAAAAAACTTTAATGTTCTTAAAACATCTTGGTGCGAAACAATAAAAAGAATATTCGCGAACACTAAAAACCCGCCAAATTAACAAACAAACAAATTCTATTGGTTCAAAAAATATGCTAAGCGAAATATAGTTCTAGAGAATTCTGTTGAAATGTTTTAAAAATCGATTTGTTACGTTTTGAGATTTCTTGCATAAATTGTTTTAAGAATCTATATTATTTGTTTACAAAAATAAATGTTTTAAATATATATTAATTAAATTGTCAAAGTTTTAAAAGTTTATTACAAATTATAGATTTTATTAGTATATTCTTATTATTTATATAAAAATAATGTATTCTTTATGTAAACCTAATTTTGTGTATCTGTTTTTTATCGTAATGTATTTTTTAAAGCATTTTTTATGATTTAAACAAAGACTTACAAAAATAATTGCGTTTTCAATAAAGTTATAGTCATTAAAGTTAACTAAACTTATTATGTAACAAACATATAAGAAGTTTCTGGTTACTAAACACAAACATTGCATACAAAGTAACTCGCGGAGGAACAAGCACCCCACCTGAGGTCACAACAGAACACAAATATATATATATATAGCAAATAATTAGATATAAAGAAAAGTTTCTAAATATTGGTTTACTAACTCTAATTATTTTCGCTTAAATTGCCATTCTTAAAACTCATTATACTTTTTTCTGCTTTAAATTTTAATTAAAATTAAAAAGCCCACTCACTAAACATCAGCCGTGTTGTGAAGCAGTTTCGCTTCCTCGTCATAAAGTATTTTTAACCTTTTTAGTTGATTTCTACCTTGTTAATTTAATTTCTATAGTAATTCAATGAGTTAATTATTCCATTTGTTTATCTTACTAAGAAGAATTGCTTCAAATATGTTAAACTTTTCAAACTACGCAAAACATAAAATAGGTATTAAAAAAATAAATTTTTTTTATTTATAAAATAGTTTAGCTTAAATAAAACTGACACTTGCAAACTTTGTTAAATAAAGAATATTTGTTTCCTTTTTAAACAATCGTAAGATGTTACTTTATATAAAAAACATCACTTAATTTTATAAAAACAAATTATAAAAGTGCGATGTTTCGAAAATATTTGTTCTAAACATAATTTATTTAAGTTTTTTCGCATATTAAGATTTTTATTTTTTTGTTATTGTCTCTCATCGGTTCATTTGCATCGGTTCATCTTATGCACTTTTTTTTTTTTGCTTTTTAAAATGTTCTCAAAAAATCTGGCCTCTAATCTCGCAACTAAATATTATTTACATAGTCAGCAATCGAGAGCGATCACTCCCGCCTCCCAACCAAGCCTGGTTATTTAACTTCTAAACTTTCTTATTACCTTAATATTATGTATTTTTAACTTTTTATTATTTTTAAAAATTATAAATTTAAAAAAATGGTTTAAAAGAAAAAAAAAATTTCAATTATGTTCTTAATGAAAACATATTTTAAACCCCCTTACTGTTTTAAAAAAGTCAAGGTTGCCGCGTGGCAAGTTCGATTTATCAGCTTTCTTTTTTTTTAATTTTTGTTATTTAAAATGCAAAACAAAATAACTTTCTTTCTTTCAAAACAAACTTCTTTGTTCAAAAGTATTTTATTTTATATTTAAGAAAAATTGAAAAAGATTAAAAAAAAAACAAACAGCGGTAGGAATTCAGCCATGGCCGCCATATTACAAACCTGATGTGCTATCCACTTGGCTACGCAGGCAAATTGCCTAATGAAAAGTATTAAAACTATATAACAAATTAAAAAACTAAAAATGAAATAAAAATGAGTACTATAGATCAAATAAGGAGATTTTGCTACACTGCAATTTTCAAGAAAAAGTAAAACTGTAAAACTTGATATCTGTTTTAGTATGTTTTTAACATTACGTAATTTGAAGTTTACCTAAGTTAGATATTTGCACTTTTGTTGATTTTTCTAATAAAAAAAAGTGCTTAAACACTTACTCGCTATTACCTCAGTTGCGATGGCTGCCAAGAGTACTGTGTCAAACACTCTTGAATGAGCATCAACATGTTCCTTATTATATTATAATATGATTTATAAAAAAATTAACTCATTTAATTAAAGTATTGAAGATTTATGTGGAAATGTTTATTTTGATTTTAGTTTTTTATTTAAATTTTTTTATTATTATTTTTTTCAATATCTGACAATTCTTTTTTCTCAAAAGAAATGAATAAAAATCAATATTTGACAATAAAAAACTATAGGTAAACCTACACAATGTCTTGTGTAGGTTTGTGGTGCAAAAATAGGAGTTTTTTTTCCAGTTTTGGTCAATAAATTAGCTCTTTCATCAAAAATGTTACCCCTGAGAATAGTCTTTCTGAATAGACAGATGAAGCAGGGGCAGATAAAATTTTTCTTGCTACACAACATATTTGAGGGTAGTAATTCTTATTATCCCCCACCATTTTAACAATGCTTCTTTATTTTCTAATATATCTATTATTTTCCCAGTCATAAAACAATCTATTTCTTTATTTATTGCTACATCTGCTACTGCAGTAATCTTTCTTTGCTTTTTTCCTTCAGGGTTACTTTCTCTTTTTTTTTTGACTTATAGCAAGTAAGAAAACTTTTTACAATTGTCATCCTTAAGTTTGATGCAGGTGGCTGACAACCTGATGTAGATGGCTGACTACCATTATTAGTTGGTGAGGAATTAGCACTAAGTGAGGAAGATGAATCCATTTCTGTCATATTAGTCATATTAGTCTCTTTTTGTGATTTCATTTAATCTTGGAAAAAATTTTTTTTGACTTAGAAAAAAGTTTGATCCTTGATCTTGGAAAAAAATATTTAGCCAAGTATTTTTGCTCATCAAATAAAAGTGACAGTTTATACCTTGGATCAATAGCTGTGGACAAAACATGTACTTTACTTATTAGTGCATTGACCTTTTAATGGAACATTACTCATCTTTTTTTTATTAGACTTTCGCATTTTCTTCATTTATTGGACTCTATAATTATCTGCAAGACTTCCGAAAAAATCATGTAATAATGAATATGGATATTATGATTATTAATGATGAATATGGCTATTACTGATGGCAACATTGATTTTGATTTACTGACTATCAGTAATCATAAAAAATGGTTTTTAAAGTCCTAATACATTTTCAATTAACTCCCATTCATTTAAACTTAATATTAAATTTAATAAATGAGAATGGTCTGCTGTGTAAAGTTGTATAGATCTTTTGAGATCATATTTGAGATGTATAGATCAATTCTATCCAACATTAAATATGTACTATTCCATCTTGTTAAAACATCTTGGATTGGTAATAATTGTGTTGAAATTTTAGAATCTAATTCTTTTATTTTTTAAATATGATGCAAGCCCAACTCGAATGGTTGAAATGAGTGCAGGTACTTCTGCATTTCTTTATCATGTTGTATACTGCAATCTGATCAAAAAGGGCATTTTTGATAACTGCAGTTGATGAATAAAACATGAGATGCCTGAAGATTCCGTCAACTCCAAATTGCATGTTATTTGTCCTTTTTTGAAGGACTATATGTATTTTCTTATTGGAAATATTGCAATCAGTTAGAATTGCATTCAACAAATTTGAAACATTTATTAAAGTGTGGGACCCTCGAAAATGTTTACAGTGTAGAACACAATCTTTTCTAATAAAATTTTCTGTGATCCAATGCACAGTTAATTATATAAATGCTATGGTGTAAAATACCATGGGTGTAAAATCTAAAAGATGGGTGTAAAACCTAAAATCTGTTGCAAATGAAGTAATTGTAATTATTGTAAATGAAAAGTTGCAGAAATGTCATTAAATACTGTGGTTTTTAATTTTTCATATGATAATGGTAACATTGTTTCCTTAAAATACTTTCTACTTTAAATTAGGTATTGTGGATGCAAGTAAGTAATCAATTAGGTATTGTGGATGCAAGTAAGTAATCAATTAGGTATTGTGGATGCAAGTAATCAATTAAATGATCTTCAACTATAGAAAATTGATTGTCCCAATAAGATTTATTATTCTTTGATTAATTTTGGAGGAGCACGAGTCCTTTATATTCCAAACTTTTTTAGGAACAGCCAAGTTAAAAAAAATGTATTTTTACTTTTACTGCATCAAAGTGGAAAATTTTAATTATAACAGTTTAGACATGGGGAGTTAAAACAAAATTGTTCTAACCTGACAAATATATTATTTTAATATATTGTCAATTATTTTAACATAAACTTTAGTAATGGCAGCACAGTTTATGTATGTATTAAGGTTTTTAATGTTAATTATCTTTAAAAATATAAGGTTATTAATATTATTTATCTTTAAAAATTAGGGCATTTAACATTCTGGTAAAAACAAAAAGAAAAAAAAAATTTATCAATCAGTCAAGAGAGAGCCAATTTGATCTATCCTTAGCCAAGAAGTTGAAAGTGTAGAATTATACTATGCAATAGCTAATAAAACAGCTGAAAAAGTTGAGGGCTGTGGTGACAAATCACTTAATAACTAAAAATAAAAACAAACTCAGAAAAGAATGATGCAAAAAGCTTTTGAATTGACAAAAATGACAATGAGGATTCATCACCCTTTTTTCTGATCAAAAATTATTCACAGTTGAAAAAGTAGTAAGTTGGCAAAATACAAGGTATCTGAGCACTGATAAGGTTGAATATGTTCCAGAACACACTAAAATGCCTTTAAAACAAAGCACCCTGCCTCTGTGATGATCTAGGGTATCATTATAAGTGATGAAGAGGTGCTCTGCAGTGTTTTCTCTGAAAGGCCACAAAATTATTCAGAAGAATGTTTGAGGCTTCTACAGACAAGTGTTGTTCCCTGGATAAAGGAGACCTAAATTTCAACCTATGCGATAAAATTGTGCAGTTCTGGAATAAGTCAATTTGACCTTCTTCAAGTTCAGGCTTAAACCCATTCGACTACTTTATGTGGATGGCTGTTAAGAAGCATGACACACCATAACAGTATCACAGCTCTACAACTAAACTACATACTAAGTAAAATGTGTGTACTAAATATACTGTAAGCTGCTAAGTTAGTATACAGTCATTTTTATATAAATAACTGAAATAAAGTTTTTTTTGTAGAGTGGTTATTTACCTGTACCTGGATTAACTGAGCTTCCTATTTGTCCTGTATGTTTGGAACGTATGGTAAGTTTAGTTTATAAAATTAAGTGATATAAATCAATCTTTTATTATATAATTTTGATTTAGCACATTGAGCAAGTTTTGAACTATAGTTGGCAAATTGCAAATATTGAGGACCTTTTTTTTTTTTTTACATCCCCATGGAAGACCTCTTTGGGACAGCCCTAATTTAACATTTTTATTTTTTGTTTTAGCATTTGTTGCTTTTTCTCTTTTTTGTTATAAATAGGTTACCAGCATTTCAAACTTTTTTTAGGACGAATCCGTTGAAGGTATATTAACCATTTTATGTAATCATTCCTTTCATAATAACTGCTTGATGAAGTGGCAAGACTCATGGTATTCATTGATAGATTATTTAAGGCAATTGTTTATAATTAAAAATTTTAGTATTTTAAAATATTTTTAGCTGTCCTGTGTGCAGATATGTTTTAACTCCAGAAGTGTCTGTTGATCAAAAATGTTTTGAATGTGATTCAAATGAGGTGATTCTTTTGTTAAAATTTTTTTTCTTGAATTAAAACATTAACATGTGGTTATGCCCCCATAACCACCATATGTGGTTATAAAGGCATAACCACATATGGTGGCACAACCGTTTTTAACATTTACCTTTGAAAAATGTACCACGTGTACATAAAACAGTTGCCTTCATTTCGCTTATGTCAAAAAGAGTGCCTGTTATGTTTATAAAAGTTGTGCATAATAATGTTTATTTTGATTAAAATGTTATATTTACATCATATTTTTCCAGATCTATTTTTTTGAGATTAAGCAAAATTTGATTTTAGTGTTAAATATATGCGTTATCAGCGTTATTTCATCAAGTGAAACTATTTTTGAAATCAACATAATCTAATAAGCAAGCTATGTAACTATTTTCTTTCTAAAAACTGTCCTCTAGGGCAGAACTGCATAGACGCACAGGAGGCACAATCACATACTTTTGATATTTATCAAAGTTAGGTAATTACGAATAACAATAATTACAATTGTCACAGTTGAATGCGTTCATATAAAAACTTGAATAGAAATAGTTTTGTTTTGAGATGTTGGAAATTAGATTTCGTATTTTTTTATTTAATTTTAATAAATGAGTTTTTGATTTAAATATAAAACTAAGAGTATATCGAATGAGAAACTGTAAATACAAAGAATGCCTACACAGTATGCAAACTTGCAACAAAATCAGCAATTAATCTGAGGTGTGACAATCGTAAAGAAAATGTACCAAGAAAAGTGTACCCCCAACAATTTTTGTGAGGGTGCGGCTGTGCCTTACAATGGGGGCAAAACCGTTTATTTCATTAAGTGTAGTTTTTGTGTAATAACATTTTCAAAAACTGTTTAATTTTTTCTTAATTGCATCAGTTTCAAGCTTAATAATGTGGTATAATAATATTGAAATAAGTTGTAAATAATATTGAAATAAACTGTTAAAAAGATACATTTTGTTTGTATTTTCATATAACCTTGATCCAAACATTATGGAGGCAGTTTTGCCCCCACTTCCCCTACATGGAATTACTTATGTACATAAGCTCATATTTACACTGCATGTTGATATAGAATTGTTTGTATATATATATATAAATAGCATTGTTGCCATTGTTATTATGTCTTTTTTATTATTGACAACAAATTGAACTATTTTAAATTATTATTTAAAAACTAAAGTATTTAATTTAGTTGATTTATTATTCATTATGTACACATTAATGTTTATAATTTATGTATTTATTTTTTAATGTAAAAAACAGAGTCTTTGGATTTGTCTTGTTTGTGGACACATCGGTTGTGGTCGATACCAGGACTTACATGCTTATCAGTGAGTAGTATATTTGTTTTGCTGAAGATTCAGTACTAATGAACCTAGTTGGTTAGGATAGTATAATATGGCTACCAAGATCTATTTAGTTATAATTATTGTTTAACGTAATTGTTTAAAATATTAAATAAAAACATTTTTTAAATTTACTAGGCGCCTTAAAAATGTGTTTTATTACATTAAAATGTTTATTAAATAAAATGTAGCTTTATAATTATTTTATTATTATACTTTAAGATTTTACTATTGCTTTTTTTTAAAAAAGTTATTCATCTTAGACACTATCAACAAACAGCACATACCTATAGCATGGATCTTGGTAACAAAAGGGTCTGGGACTATGCAGGAGGTAATTAAAAAATAAAATAAAAAAAAAGAAAATAAATTACTTAATGTCACTAAATAATTTAAAGATTTTTTACATTTAAATTGATATAAAGTTTTAGAGCAGTTGTTACTCAACTTTTTGCATTTACTTCATTTCGGCAATCTTGTCATATGCTTCTCTTTTACTGTGTTTCTAACTTTATGCATTTGATAGTTTAAACAGCTCCTAATTTTAGTTGCAAATAAAATTATTATAATCTTTGTTACTAATTCATCTAATAATAAAAAAACATATAAAGTTATATAACAAATTAATTTCAATTTATAAATATAGTTTTGACTATATATATATATATATATATATATATATATATATATATATATATATATATATATATATATATATATATATATATATATATATATATATATATATATATATATATATATATAAATTTTAAAAATATATATATATGTATATATATATATATATATATGAAATTAAATTGATATTTCTATGTTTAAAACCTGCTTTATGTCACTTTAATCTCTCTGAAAATTCATATAGGCCTTTCAAAAAATCAAATGATGAAATATATATATATATATATATATATATATATATATATATATATATATATATATATATATATATATATATATATATATATATATATATATATATATATATATATATATATATATATATAAAATTTTAAAAAATCAATGTGAAATTAAATTGATATTTCTAAGTTTAAAACCTACTTTATGTCACTTTAATCTCTCTGAAAATTCATATAGGCCTTTCAAAAAATCAAATGATGAAAAATTTTATTTTAATACTGACTCAAACCACCCACTTCAAATTCTAAAACAAAATCCCAACTTTCCAAATTCCAACTCAAAATTTATAAATGCTCTTTAAAAAGATGCCTTTAAAAATGTAGGTAATATAGAAAAAAGTGTTTTTAAAATTGGTAGATAAACACTTTCAGCCCTGAATTAAATTACTGAAATACAATTATTTATTACGAATTGTTATTAAATACAATTATTAAAATGAAATACAGTTTTAGTAAGCTACAGCTGCACAAAAAATTGGGAAATAATTATAAAACATACAAATGCATAGAAGGTTTTAGGGAGGGAGGTTTTTGACAGTGTACTACGCAATTTGACTTTCTCTCATTCCCTACCTCACCTTAAATTGGTTTCTTTTTTTAACAAAACATCGAATCCCACAAGTTTAAAAAATCAATGTGTTATCATGTACACAGATAAATCAATTTAACTAAAAGTTTTTAGTGTTTTTAAAAAATTACGCATTTCAGGTTTATTTTGTAATAAATAATGTGTACATGCGCAAAAAGAGGGGGAGTGTGGTGTGTGTTAAATGTGTACAGGTGCATACAATGGAGAATTTTACTGCGTACATACTTTATGGATGCTCACTAATCCAAAAAGTTCATTTTATTGAAATATGCATAAACAAAACTATTGAGACAGAAAAAAATATCTGAAGTAAACTTTTTTTTAATTTAAAATGTTTTAATATTTATGAGTTTAAGAAAATAAAAAATCATTCTATTATTTTTTGAAGTGATTTTAACATATGTCATCAAAAAGAGGTCCAATAAGATCCTATCCACTTTTGTTGTCACGGTCACTGAGGTAAACAGTTTGATTCATTTACACGATTCCACTTTTGTTAGCTGGATGTTAAGTATTTTTAAATGTACTAAATTTTTTCTTTTTTTTTTATAATATCACTAAAGCCAAGAAACCATTACAAATCCTTTGTAATGGTTTCATGGCTTTAGTGATATTTTTTTGCTGGTCTACTTTATTTATCTAAAATATTTTGTTTGTTTCTATATATATATTTTTAACCAATTATTTTATATTAATTTTATTTTTAACCAACCATTTTTTATCAAAATATAATGAAGGCAACCAATATTTATCTAAAGTATGAAAAAATTAAATTTTTTAAAAAATAGTTATTATTACTTGGCTATTAAACACTGATTCCACTTACAAGACATTTGTATTCGTTGTTTTAATTTAGATAATTATGTCCATAGACTGGTTCAAAATAAAGGAGATGGAAAATTGGTTTCTCTTGATAATAGAGAGCAGGTAATGGTTTGTTATTTTTAGAATAAATTGAAAAAAATTAAGCCATGTATAAACTCTTTTATTTTATGCAACATCTGTTTTATCTTGTTGTTATGTCACAAGTCATTGTTTGTATAAAAAAGGTAAATTTGTGTAAAACCAGCAACAAAAAGGGTATATGTTTGTTAATATTCATTGGTGATATGGTGGGGATCAAACTTGGAACTTCTTGTTTATAAAGCAGGTTCAAGTTTTTACTGTACTATTTTTTGTGTAAATTTCCTAATGAATTTTTTTTTTCTTTTCTACTTAATGCTTTTGATTTTTTCCTAAATTTTTGTTGAAGTCAAGAAAAGATTTCAAAAATATTAACAAAAATATAACTCAAAGTTTGTCTTCCTAAGCATCACTTAATTTAGTTTCTTTAACAAATTTTTCTTTCCATTGTGCTATTTTATAGTTGCTATTTAGTTGTTTAGAGAAAGTACTTTCAGAAAATATTCTATTGTGTTATTTAAATAAATTAGAAAAAGTTAACTCATCTTTAAAGGTTATCTTTAAGGTGGTGATATTAAGTTAAGCCCACAACTTCCTTTTAAAAGTTTTATCTTAATAATTGCAAATATAGTAACTATTTTACATTTTAACTATTGTAACAATTGTTAATTTATTTGGAACTTTTTTTAATATTATTTATGTATTTAAAGAAGCTTGCTTGAATAGGACTTAATTTTGTTGTTTTGATTTTTTTTAAATATATAACCAATTTTAAAATGATTTTATTTAATTCAATTTGAAAAGCAGAAATAAAAAAAATTTAAAAAGAAAAATAGTAATGAATTTGATGTAATTTTCAATTTTTTTAGGTTGAAGGTGAAAAAATGGATTCTTTGACTATTGAGGTGAAAAAATTTAACAAAAATTTTATTTTCAAATTAAAAAAAAAAAGATCATTTACTAATCTCATCAACAGTTTCTATTAATGCATAAATATTGTTTTATTTTCAGTACACATACCTGTTAACCAATCAGTTAGAGTCACAGAGACGTTATTTTGAAGAGAAGATTGATTTTTTAGAGAAAGATGCTTATGAAAAGGTTTATAAATTTATATATATATATGTGTGTGTGTATGTATGTATATAGACACGCATACACACCCATACATAAACTTAATTTTGGTGGGTTAGGTTGGCTTTGTTTTATATATTTTACATGAAGTTTTAGATTTAAATCTTGATGGTTTTCAGAAAAGAAAAAAAAAATATTTTTTACATAAAAGTTGTTCACATCTAGCAGTACCTGCTGAAACCAATAAAGTTAATATTTCTAAGTGTACAATTATATTTGTATATACAATATGTATGTGTGTGTTTGATTGAGTTATTTATATTTATTTTATAGTTGAAAAAAATGTGCTTACAGTTAATTTAGGTTATTTAGACAAATCAGTAACTTTTCAAAAAAAAAATAAAAAAGAATTAAAATATTTAATTAATTTTTTTAACAGTTGTCTTTAATGGAGTTAGAGGTTCATAATTCTCGCAAAGAGTATCATACTCTTGAGCAAATGTTCGCTATAAATGAAAAAGATAAGAAAATGTTAGAAAAAAAGTATGAAAATGTTGTTGGTAAATTGGCTAATATGTGTAAAGAACTACGTGATGAAAAGCAGCTGAATATATGTTTGCGTGAGAATCAGGTATATCTAAAATAGTACATAAAAATCTTTATTTCAGGAATAAGTTTGATTCTATCATGATTTACAAGTTGTTGCTTTCTTAAATAAATTATGATTTTCCCATGAATCATTTAAAGTGTGTGTGAGTTTATATATATGTGTATATATATATATATATATTAATATATATATATATATATATATATATATATATATATATATATATATATATATATATATATATATATATATATATATATATATATACAGCCCTTGAAATTACTAACTGCCGACCTAAATGTGCTTGAGGTTGAAAAAAATTGCCTACCTCGTTTCTATATTTTTTTATAAGACCTTTGTATTAAATTTTATTTGCTGACCTGATGCTGACCTCTAAAAGATTAAGTTCAACATTAATCTTTTAGAGGTCAACAATTGAGAAAAACCCCAATTTTCCTAATTTTGAGGGTTTATATGTACATATGTGTGTGTATATATATATATATTTTCATGAACAAGACAAATTTTCTAATTTTTAAAACTTTTTTTTTTTAAAAAAACAATACATATTTCGAACAATGGGTTCTCCACTGACACCTGTTCTTGACAATTTGTTTATGGGTTATTTTGGAAATAAATGGATCAAAAATTTCAATGATATAAAACCAGTTTTCTATAAGATACGTTGATGACATTTGTGCTGCTTTCCAGTCGGAAAATGATACACATCTTTTTCTTAGATATATAAATAAATATATATCTATATATTTATTTATATATCTAATATATCTATTTCTATATATATCTTTATATATCTTTTTTATAAGATATATAAAGATATATATAGAAATAGACAAAATTCTATTTCTTTTACTATGAAACAAGAAGTAAATTCAAAAATATCTTTTTTAGACGTAACTCTATACAAAACTAATTCTTCAGTTACTACTATCGTTTCTCATCAAAAGCCTTTTCTGGTCTTCACACTAATTTTAATAGTTTCACTCCATTTTCATACAGAGTTAGTCTAATCAAATGCTTCATTGATAGAACGTTTGAAAATAATAGTACTAAACTTGGATTTCAATCTGACATAAATGACCTCTTTAAAGTATTTCAAAGAAACATGCACCCATCTTGGCTTATTTCAAAAATATATAATTCCTATTTAAACAAGATTTATTCAAATCCTCCACCACAACCAAAAATCAATTTTTGTCTTATTTTAAACTGCTGTTTTTGGGGAAAATATCTGATTTAACTAAAAAAAGACTGAGTTCAATTGCTAGTAGATACTGCAGTTCATTAAATATTAAATTAGTATTTACCTCACTGAAAATTTCCAAATTCTTTTAAAGATCCTATTCCTTCAAATTATTTGTAGTGTATAAATTCGTATATGCAGGATGTAACTTCTGTTATAAAGGCGAAACTACTCACCATCTCAGGACCTGGATATTTGAACATTGTAAGAGGGACAAAAAGTCTCATAAACATCTCCATGCTAATAAAAATTGTTTCATGCAAGTAAATGATAAGTTTTTTTCTGTGTTAGATTCGGCATCTAACAAATTTGAGCTATAAGTTAAAGAAAGTATGTTTATAGAATGGTTAAAACCTGGTATGAATAAACAGGTTAACCATGTACAAATGACTTTTTTAAGAAATTTTAAATATTCAATTTTAACTGAAGATGACTAGTGTTAGTCAAAACATGTTTTGTTTTTTATTAAAAAACTGGTTTTAAAAATTAAAAAATTTGTCTTGTTTATGAAATTATTTACATTTTTGGTGCTTAAAAGAAATTTTGGTATATATATATATATATATATATATATATATATATATATATATATATATATATATATATATATATATATATATATATATATATATATATATATATATCATATATATATATATATATATATATACATATATATATATATATATATATATATATATATATATATATATATATATATATATATATATATATATATATATATATATATATATATATATATATATATATATATATATATATATATATATATATATATATATATATATATATATATATATATATATATATATATATATATATATATATATATATATATATATATACATATATATCTGTGTGTGTGTGTGTACATGGCTCGAAATAACCGCGAGACATCAGACGTTGTCCAGCATTTATCCAGTAAAAAATGACATCTATCAGTCATTTTGTTCGAACTCTACTACTTTTTAATCATTGTTGTTATTAGTAATTATTAATAAACTCTGAATTGTATATAAACTTCATTTTTTGAACTTTTTTGAACTTTTTTATGCAAAACAGAAAATAAAGTTGAACACTCAGCTAAATAAAGTACGTCATTTTTTTGAGCTAATTCATTTTTTATAAGACGCCTAAGCATTAAATGTTTTTTGAATTGACCAGCCCAGTTTTTATAATTTATATTAAAATGTAGTAAATAGTTATTAATTTAAATTTATATCTCAGTATTTTTTTTTTTTTTTTTTGTCCAATGATTTTTATAAACTTCAAAAGAATATTTTAGCTTTTAAAAACCCTTTTAAATTTATTTTATAAAAATTTTAATGTAATAGTTTTTTTAATGCTTAGAGAAACCAGTGCTTTTTATTAAACTATTAAATTTGAATTATGTTAAGTAACGTTTGTTTTTGTGGTAAAGTTTTTCGCTATTAAAAGTGTTTACTAAAGTAATCATAGAAAAAGTTTAAAAAGATTTTTTTAAAAATACATTTTTATATAAATGTAATTATGTATAGAGTAATTTATTCGAACCCTGCTCACATCCACAATAAAATTGATGTTGACAGGCTATTATTAGACTTACACAGCTGCACTATCATTAGAGCTTATTTCTTCTTATTTCTTAGCTTATTTCTTCAGCTACAAAATGTAGAATTCTTTAGATTTTATGAGAGTAGTGTTATCATTATAAAGATTATGTTATCATACTGAAGATCATAATGGCCTCTTAGAGAACCTTAATAACAATAACAAAAATAATTACCAACACCCTAATAATGCGTAGTAAAAGGCGGATACAAAGGGCTGTTTAAATACTACGTGACAATATTAGTGGGGCGTTATATATTAAGTAAGTATGGTGCTAAGTTGCTCAGTTTCAGAAATAACTTTTTGTGGGTGTATCTATAGAGTGGAAAATAAAACACAAACTTATGTATATAAAGATATAATTAACCACTATTACATTACAAATGTTTTAATAATAGTTAGCTTTAATAAATGGTTTATAAATAAATTATAACTAAATTGTGAAAAAGCATATATATATATATATATATATATATATATATATATATATATATATATATATATATATATATATATATATATATATATATATATATATATATATATATATATATATATATATATATAGGATGTAGAGAGTAATAAAACAATGTAAAACAGTTTTACAGTTTATATTTTTAAAAGACAAAATAAGTCTTAAAAAAGGAAAAAATAAGCCTTTAGTTATGTAGTCAAGAGAAACTCGCAGAAAACTGTATGAAGTCTTGTCATCAAGAACCCTTTTTTTAAATAATTTCATGAGATACTTATAACTCTTTTATTCATTACTTATTATATTTTTCAAAATTGACAAGCGGATTTGAATCACGGAGGTTCACTTCAGAGAGGTAAAATTAATGTAAAAAAAGTAAATTTAGATTTTATGAGAGTAGTATTAGTCATTATAAATTGTGCAGTGTGTCAAAAGCACAGATTATTGCCTACTTGAACTCAATCTCGCTATGTCGATTTTAAGTTGCCTACTGTGTGACTTTCACACTGTGTGAAAAAGCTCATTGGGTAAATTCATATATATAAAACATTGCCAATGGCAATGTTATATATATATATATATATATATATATATATATATATATATATATATATATATATATATATATATTATATATATATATATATTTGTTAGTTCCCCATAGCTGAGAAGGTCACTACATACAAGGAGGCTACTAAATTGTGGGTATAACCCTCTCTCAACTCTATAACTCCGAAACACAAACTTTGACAAACAAGGTTACTACATGGAGAAATAGTAAACAACTGGGGATCATATTTGACCAGGGCCAGGTTTGTGACCAGGCTGCATAAACATTTATACATCCTAAAGTATATTTTTTTAATTTGAAATTCATATTATATTTAGTATATATACGCATGTATAAACATCGTTATAATCAACATGATCATCATCATCATCATCATCATCATCATCATCATCATCTTGTCTTTCGGCAAATACTACACTATATAAATACTAAAGTTTATACGAATATGAAAGGATATTGTATGCCAGCATCTAAATAAATAGCAAATATATATGTTTATATTTGAGATGCGCTTTATGCTTACATATTATATCCATAATATGTAAGCATAAAGCGCATCTCAGACATCATCATCTCACATTGTAAATGTGGTTGTGGTGTAGTAGTAGAGCACTCGCATCATAACCAGTTGCCAAGTTCAATCCCCACCATGTTCCTGGTAGTATCGCGCTCAACATGTTTCTTTGCGCAGCGGCCTAGGTTGTCAAAGTTCATGTTTCAGAGTTATATAGTTGAGAGAGGGTTATAACCACAATTAAGTAGTGGTGTTTTTAGCTTTGGGGTGGTGAATTAACATTAAAAAAATAATAATGCTTTATCTGCCAAGCTTGAGCCACTCTCCTATTGTTGTAAGGTTGCATTCCTTTCTTTTTTATACAAATACAATCATGGTCAATGCTCAAACAAGCTGTCATCTCTATAACGATAAACCAAAACTCATTTTTGCTTGTTTCTTATTCAATAAGTTGCATCTTTCTCCTGTCTCTTCATAATATAAAAACTTTTATTAATCCAGTTTTTTTCTTTGCACATCAAGAAAACCTTATAACTATTAGCCGTCTTCATGTTTTTCTTTTATATGCAACCTACAACTTTTCAAGTCTTCAGTTAACCGTTTCCTAGTATTTTTACTTTTCTCTATTTTAGTATAATTCTCTATTTTAGTATAAGTAACTCATAACTTAACAGTGGTTGCTTGCTATCTTGTTGCAAGTTAGTTAGAGTTTAAAAATATATAAATATATGCCAGTATTTAATAAATAGTAAATGTAAGCATAAAATTGTAATATATAAAGTATATATATATATATATATATATATATATATATATACATATACATATACATATATGTACATATATTATCTAGGTGATACAATAAATTTATTTTACTTGGTAAGTTGGGTATTTCTGTATTTGACTTGAAATATCTTTGCATTCAACATAGGCTGTGTGGCAAAAAAAAGTTGAGTTGCTTGAAAATGAATTGAAAAAATGTTCTACTGAAAAAAGTGCTGAAATTTATGAACTTCAAAACCAAGTTGCTGATTTAATTAAACATTTGGAAGTCCAGTCTGCAGTGAGAAATGCTAATGAAGATGTTAGGGAGGTAGGTTATTTTTTGCACTTATCAATATTAAATAGATATTCTGAATATATTCAAAAAAAAAAAAAAATGCAAAGCAGATAAAAATTTAAGCATAGCAAACTAAATTCCAGGAAAGTTTTTTTAACAAAAAAGCTTTCCATGTTAATGTTTTTATCCCTAAAATGTCATTGAAGAAGCCACTTTTTTGTTGCTTTGGATATCAGCTGAGAGTTTTTCTTAAACTTTTCTAGTTAAGCTCACTAGATCTCTGTGCAATTGTATTTGAAGAAAGGAATTCCCAATATGCACGTATGCCCCACCACACTGAAAGTATTATCTTTTTTGAATGAAGTTCATAGTTTAGATTTGATATTGGCTTTTAAGTAGGGCGAAATAGCAAAATATTATAGCCAAAAATGCTTAGGACAAAGCCGTAAATGTTTTCTGGTATGATTGTCATAAAGTTAATATAATTACTTAATATAGTTATATAGATAATATATATAATTAACATAAAATTCTCATCACATGTGATAATATTGTCAAGACATCTCATAGAACTCTTTTTAGTAAAATGCTGATTTTTCTGCTTCAGATTCAAATCATGATGTATCAAATCATCTAGTTTTGAGCAATAAATGTAATGTAAAATTGTGGTATGGCAGAACCCAAGAGTGTTTGCCGAGCAGAGTGCAATATGTTGTGGGTTGTTCTCAATTAGGTTATTTGATCGACCAAGATCTAACTTCAGAGATGTTTACACTTTCTGACTCGTAGCCATTTTTTAGAAAAACTTGACAGAGACCTGGGCTGTCATCACTAAAATTTTGAGCTGCTTCTTTAACAGAATGTCTCATTTGGTATTTATTTGAACTGAATGTCTCATTTGGTATTTATTTAAACTGCATTTGCAACCACTCAATATATCTAATTAGGCATGCTAATTGCACGCTTAGCTTTCCATGATATGCATCATACTGAAATATCGATTATTCTTCATAGGTTGGCTTAATCTAAAGTCAGTGATTCTCTATGTGTAAGTGTCTAATTCATTATGGATTCATTTCTATATGACTGGCAGTTTATCATGGTTATATATTTATCCTTTATAATGGTGTCTTATTCTAGATATTATAATGGATACAGCAACAACAAACACATACTGTTTGTTTGCATATACTTTATTACTTAGTTTTATATACTTCATCTTTTTTCCTCCTACTAAAAAGTTTAATTTAGAGGCTTAAATTCAAGTTATTTTGTTGTTGAAGATATCATTTTGTATTATTTATATTTTTTTATCATTTTGTTATTTTTTTTAGTTTAATTTAGAGGCTTAAATTCAAGTTATTTTGTTGTTGAAGATATCATTTTGTATTATTTTTATTTTTTTATTATTTTGCTATTTTTTTACTACATCTTGTTTATCCTTTTTAGATTTATTTTATTCATAATATAAAATAAAATTTTCTTCATTTTTTTTTTTTTTTTCTTTTCTAATTTTTTTTTTTTTTTTGTAAAGGATATCCAAGCAGGTCAACTATTTACAGAAGCCTGTTCTTCATCTGGAAACGCAAGCAGAAATACTAAGAAAAAATCAAAAGCTCGAAAAAAATAATCATAAATGCTGACAATAAAGGTTTTTATGTCAAACTGAATTTAGTTACAAATGATGTTTGCTTTATATACCAATCATCTTTGAACCTGTGAAAATTATTGAAAAAGGTGGAAATATTATCTAATTTTTAAGACATTAAAGATTTTTAAAATTTGAAGCAATTTATTTATATTAAAATAACCGTAAATATTATAACATATATTTTTAAACATGTAAGTTTTTGTTAGTTTTTTATTTGATTTAATATTTATTATTAGTTTATTTAAATTGTAGCAGTTTAGTGATAAATTGTACATTAATTGCAATTATATTTAATTAATATTTTGTAAAATTGCATGAAAGTCTTAAAAATAAAACTTAATAATGTACAGCTCACAATTTATTTTTTTTAATTTGTAGAAATTTTGATTAATTGAATATATATTTGTGTGTATATATATCTATATATATATATATCTATATATATATATCTATATATATATATCTATATCTATATATATATATATATATATATATATATATATATATATATATATTATATATATATATATATATATATATATATATATATATATATATATATATATATATATATATATATATATATATAAAACTTAAGTTAAAATAACGTAAAAATATGTTAAACTAAAATTAGGAAATTATATTTGTATTTAAAAAATGTAACTGAAAATTAAATTCTGAATGAGAATTTTTGTTTTAAATTTTTACAGTTTTAAGATCATTCTGCAGTAGATAATCTACAAAATAAGTGGTGTCTTTGATGGAATTGCAAAGATTTGCAACTGATCAAGGAAAAAACTGTTTCTGTTCCTTGTTAGTGTATCATTATACTTCTCAGTAAAACTGATTCCCTTTTCAGCTTTATCATTTAAAACTGTCATGTGTGCAGCCAGTTTTTAAAACTTCTTGAAGACTGGATCATATGTCCATTGTCCTGGTGGTTTCTTAAGGATTCTATAAGATTTCTCTTTGCCTTTATTGAGTACACGAAAGAAAGATATTGTTATATCTGTCACCACACTTTATACTTATTTAAGTTTACTTTTTAACTTGATTATTTATTGCACAGGCATTCAAAAGGGTAACTTAAGATTGATTTAGGGTATATGCATATATGTATATCAACCCTCAGAATTAGGAAAAATGAGGTCGACAATAATTTGCCAACCTCAATCTTTTTGAGCTCGACATCAGATTGGCAAAAATTATTTGATACAAAGGTCTAACCATAAAACTTTGAAACAAAGTCAACTAAAAATTGTCGACCTCAAACACTTTCAGGTCGGCAGTTAGATCGGCATTACCGAATGCCAACCCTAATTCCGAGGGTTGGTGTATATGCACACATATACATACGTATATGTGTGCATATATGTATATGTATATATATATATATATATATATATATATATATATATATATATATATATATATATATATATATATATATATATAATTTTCTAAAAATTGTTGGCTTTGAGAGTACAGTAGGTAAAAAATGATTCTTTTGCCAACAAAATACGTCACTTTTAATTACTTTTGACTTTCATTCAACATTTCCATGTTGTCATAAATTTAAAACCATTAATTTAATCACTTTTTAAAAAAATTGCAAAAACGCAAATTTAATTGACCAGAATGTTTTTAAAAATATAAACAATGTTTTTATTTTTATTTTTTAAATAAAATGTTTTTATTTTTATTTTTTTTTACTGTAAATCATGCACAATCATGTTGCTACATCAACTATATTATAGCCTGACTTGCAATGGAGTGCTGCTACTTTGACTGACAAATAGCCTGACTTGCAAAGGAATGCTGCTACATCGACTGAGGGATTGGTTTGGGCAGGCAGTCTATCAAATAATTAAAGGAGGGAAAAAAAAAAACGTTTTCTGGTCTTGCATTAAAATTTTTTTTTATGTCAACAAAATATGGAAAAACTTTCTGACAGCTTTGCAAGGGTCTATATATATATATATATATATATATATATATATATATATATATATATATATATATATATATATATATATATATATATATATATATATATATATATATATATATATATATATATATATATATATATATATATATATATATAAATATATATATATATATATAAATATATATATATATATATGCAATTTTTACCTTAAGTTACCTTTTTTTTAAAATACTCTAAAAACTTTCTAATATGAATGCTTTGTAATAAATAAATAAAGGATGATAAGACTTACTTGTCTACATGCTATTGAATTAAGCCTAATGTAAATGTAGTAAATGTAGCCTACTTGACCGTAGAAACCCTCTTGGCCTTCGAGGCAAAAAAATTCACCATCCAACTTTGATTTAGCATTGTTTATTTTTTTTATAACTCTTTAAAATTTCAGTTTAAAAAAACTCAGTCTAAGAATAAAACAGTCTAAGAATAACTTTTTTTTAATGTTTAAAATTTTGTTTTTATTTTTAGAATAATATTCAGAAAGACTTGTTTTTTCAAAAAATTTTGTTTAGATTCTTTTGTCTGGTGTTCTATTTTCAGAAAAAAATATTTAAAAATCAGCAAAAAGATTGTTTTTTATCTGTCAGCCCTAGTACACATTTTTGGCTTGTTTTTTTTTCTATAATGGCTTTCTTCCATCAGAAGTTTCTGACAATCATTTATGCAATATATCAAAGTTTGTTTCACTTTTAAAATTGAAAGCTAAATACTCACATGATTTTTGTTGTTATTGATGCTTTGCGAGGTGATTTTGTGTTAAATAAAAATGGTTGGTCTAAGAATATGAATTTCACACTTGGCAAGATAGCTTGTGATGAGAAATATAGGTAAAGAACATTAAATTGAATTTGTGAAAATTATTACAGATATGATTTTTAAAATATATTGTTATTAATAGATATATAAATTTGTAAACAATAAACAAAAAATGTGTCTGCACTAGGTGCTTAAAGCTGACTTATTTTTAATATATTTAACACCTGAATGACCATGTGTCACTGATTGATTATAATTACAAATAATATCCCTCCTCAAACTATAACTAAAAAGGTGACTAATATATAATAACTAAATAGCAATAATATAATATAATAACTAAAAAGCAAAGCCCATAGGTGCAAGTTAAGCACATAACTACTTGAACTTTGTACCTCCAAAAAGTGATAGGCGGAGCTCAACTATGATGTTGTTATACGGAACTATTATATACAATTTTTTTAATATAATACTAAAATTGAATTGACATTAAATGTCAATTAATTTAACAGTTAACCATAGTTAGGTTAAGATAAATTAGTTTAACTTTATAAATCAACTTTATAACATCTTTGTTCCTTACACTTTTACTTATGAACTAAATTTTGTAGATTGAAGTTATATAGTTTTGTACATTATATCTTAGTTGATATTGAATAATGATTGCCTAATATTTTGCTAACACTTATATATATTAGTGATGTGCTGGGGACCCGATAATTTGGCTGTTGTAATTCAGTCCCGGGTACCCGGAATCAACCATTTTTCTGCAGTACCTGGTATCTTAAAAAAAAATTTTAATAAATATTTACCTTAAATATTGCAACTATATGTTTAACTTTAAATTGTGTAAAAAATATTATTAAGAGGATTGCTTTTAGTTTTAACTTCAACCACCACACCCCTGGTTCACACCACACCACACCCCTGGTAGTCCTGCGCTCAACTTGTATCTCCGCGCAGCAGCCTTGTTTGTCAAGGTTCAAGTTTTGGAGTAATAGAGTTGAGAGAGGGTTATAACCACAATTAAGTAGTCTTCTTGTCTGTAGTGGTTTTCTTGGCCTTAGGGAGGTGACTTTACATTAAAAAAAAAAACAATAAATTTCTTGAGTCTAAAAGGGTTATGGAATCAATAACCACAAAGCCCTATTTAGTCAATATAGACTCACTTAAAAATTTTTTTTATTTTTTTCACAAGACAGTCGAGAAGGTCTACTTTTTTTTTTTTTTTTGCAATTCTCTGTCTCTCTTAATATTTTATTTTCCATAACATAACTTTTGATTAATTAGCGATTATTTAGCAATAAATTACAAAAAAATATAAATTGTATATTATGCTACAATTATAAAACAAAAATTAGTTAGCCAGAACAGTATTTTTTGAATTGATAGAGATAATTTTAATTTTAAAGTTTTTAATGATTTTGGCATTAACAACTTATATTGGCAAGTTATTCCAAATTAACAACCTATTAATTATTATCTAATATTTATATTTGATATACTTAAGTAAACTTAATTAGCACAAATTAATCAGTAAATTCAGCACTATAGATTTTTCAAGCTTTTTTTTCCACCTTTTTAATATACTAAAAGTCTATATTAAAAAGTCTATATTTTATTTTATAAAAAAATATAGATTCTTTATTTTTTATAAAAAGATATAGATTCTTTACAGTTCTGTTCAGGTATAGAGATAAATCATTTTTTAATTTAATAATTTTTCATTTGTTTAAGGTTGACACTAATGTTACAAGACACGCTAATGTTACAAGAGAGCTGAAACAAGAAGATTGGAATCTTATGGTTTTTTTATTATCTTGGGCTTGATCATATCGGACATTTCGCTATCTATATAGTTCATTATTCCCTGAAAAAAATCAAAGAAAAGGATAATTGATAATGAGTTGATCATATCAAACATTTTGCTGGTCCTTATAGTTCATTAATCCCTGAAAAACTAAAAAAAAAGATAATTGAAAGTTTATATATTAGTCTTGTTTAACGTGACAATAAACTTGGTAGTCAGAGTGTTTTAGTTGTATGTGGAGATCATGGAATGAGTGAAACTAGTAGTCATGGTGGTGCTTCATATTTTGAAGTAATGACCCCATTTTTGCTTTTAGATACAAAAGGAAAAGGTGTGTTTTTGTTTTTTTTTAATTTTTATATACAATATTTTACTTTGAAATTATCACTAATCTATAATTTAAATTATATATATATATATATATATATATATATATATATATATATATATATATATATATATATATATATATATATATATATATATATATATATATATATTTATATATAAACAATTTTATAAATGTATTCTACTTCTAAATGTATTCAAAATAGAGTGCTCAATGTTCTTAAAAGAACAGAGCAATTATAAATTATTAGAAAATCACTCAACAAAAATATTTTTTCATTTTACACTGTGTTTCATCAACAAAGATTCATCAGAAATGAATGATCAAATTAATAAAACTTCAATTTATACCAAAAAATTAAATTACAGGAAGTCACAAATGTTTTAACTACTGTAAATTTTTCTTTGATTGAAAAAATTGAGCATTTTATTAAAAGAATTCGTTGGAAAGCCCATTTTCTCTTAAAACCAAATATAAACACAGATGATGTATTTAATAATAACCAAGATAATGATAATTATGGATTTAAAACAAAAAATACCCCACCTTTTATAACTGATTTTGAAAATTTTGAAAATGACCTATTGCATTTAATTAAATCAAACCTAAATGTTTTAGTTTTTGCTGATAAAACAAATAACATTTACAAACTCACTGTTTTCCAAATTGACCACCAGGTTGAAACTCTCTTACAAAACACAATTTATATTGCCAAAAAAATCTGAACTAAGTATGTAAATTTTAATAATCAAAACATCATTTTTTGCTTTTTTTCTTCAAAAATTTAAATTAAGTCAGCCATTATGGTATTTAAGAAAACCCAATAAAATTAATCTATTATATAATAAAACAACATAATAAATACATTTAAAACACATCTGATATTTTCACTATTGTTTGTTTAAATTGAAATTCACTACAGCAGACTTCAGCTTTTCGGCGTAATTTTTGTGTCCAATAGTTCTTTTATAATTCACCCAATTTTTTTTAAATTTGTGATGAACAGCTTCACCGCATTGTTCTGCATAGTTACCTAAGCTGGTATTATTGTGTTCTACAAAAGGG